GGGACGGAGAAGGAAGAGGCAACATTCATCATGCAGATAAGCGAGTAGGAATACTTACTTTGACAGTTGCCTGGCATCGCGTGCCTGAAGGAAGACAACGGATCCCGCGGCTGCAGTGGATTCGGCAGCGGCTGAAGGGGATTCGGCAAGGGTTGCAAAGGGTCCACCAGCGGCGAGGCGAAAAACGGCCCTCCCCTTTGCGACGCGAACGCGAACGCGTGGAACTGCTGCTGCTGCCCTAAAAGAGACAACACTGCGATCAACCGTGCGCCTGTCCACTGGACCTCCGGTACTCGCATCGATCCTCCATCTCTTTTAACATATCCTTGTGCAAAATAGAACGATTCGCCATTGCATTTTATTCTTAATTACTTTGCCTCAGAATTTTTGATTCGTTTTGATTTTCATACAAGGTACAAAATGAAAGTCATCTAGCACATCATAGTGACTTATATGATGGATTATAGTTACTTCGCAGAGGGTTGAACTTTTTATTGTCAGTCATTATACTGTCAAATAATCGAAATTGGTCTTAATTTTAGTGCTACGTCTTTTAGTGCTACGGTTCTTCTTACATATAGTTGACAAAATTATATTTTTGGGAAGATTTAAAAATGTGGTACTTTCTTTGAAAAAAAAAATATATATATATAAGATAGAGAGCTGTATTGAAATCATTAGAAAAGATGAAAATTTTGTAAATTCTCCAATTCAAAAAAGACTTTTTTTTCTCCTCTATCAATTCCGAATAAAACGACAATTCTTTCAAAAATTCCAGCATCAATCACCACGTTTCTCTCTCTCTCTCTCTCTCTCTCATTCTTTTACTTCTCTAGACAACCATTAAAGAAATTTTCACCCCTTAACTCGAAAGGAAATTCCAAATTCTCTTCTCTAAAAACGATTTTGACAGCAGTTTGCAAGCAAAAATTTCTTCGCGTTTCTCTCCGAAAAAATCGTTCATCGACTTAACCACCGCGCCACCCCCTCCCCCTCGAAAGTTCTTCCTCTGTTCTCGTTCAACGACTTTTATTTCCCCAGACAACCTGTTCAACCACCCCCGTCTTGCATCAGCCTACGTAACGAACCTCGCAGTTTCGAACGAGCGAAACCGAATATATATATATATATATATATATATATATA